TTTAGAAATTTGTTCCAAGACAGAAATAACTGATTTCAAAGCAATATTTCAGTATTCTTTAAATAAAACTTACTAATATGGAAGTGATCAATTTAATTTTTTCAAATAAGATTGTTAATTATGTGGCCTATTTTATATGTTCACAACATCTGTAAGATTTAAGAGTTTTAAATACTTGTAAATTAGATTCTCATAAATTATGCAAGGAATGAAGGAAAATGTGAAAACCAAGGAGTTCAAATATTATAAGTTAAAGTAAATAAATGATTTAAGTACAGAATTTCCTTGAAGGTTATTTATATTTAAAGACATTTTTGTCTGTATTTTCATTGACATAAACTCTAGTTTCTTTTTTCAGCATTCTGAGGATATCATCCTATTTTTTCTGGCTCACATTGTTTCTGTTTTTCAAGTCAGTTATCAATCTTACTGCTAACCATTTGAAAATGAAATGGTGCACACGATGTAATCTGTTAAATATAATTTTCTTTGCATTTATCATGGTTCAAGTTTGAGTTCTTTCTTATATTTGTGGTTTGATGTTTTTTGTCAGCTTTGGCAAATTCTAAGCTATTGTATCTTCCAGTATTACTCCTTTTCCAATCATTGTCACTTCTCCTTCTGAGATGCTTATTGCATATATTTTATCCCTTTTCCAATCATCCCATATGTCTTTAACTCTATTTTCTGTGTTATTCGTCTTTCTTTTCTTTGTAATTAACTGTGTAGTTCACTCCTTGGCTTTGTCTGAGTCACTATTAAAATTGTTTATTGGGTTCTTAATTATTGTATTTTTCAGTTTTAGAATTTCTGATTGATTTTTGGGTCGACTTTGTTTTTTTATAAAATCAGATAACAAAGTAATGTATAGAAGACTATAACTTGAAAAATAGATGTCATCTATGCCTTAATTCTAACCGATGATCACAGTAATTTATTTCTTAGAAATCTTTCCAGAAGTTTCCCATCTATCTGTTTCTCTGATCCTTGACCATTCACCCAGAAATGAAAGTCATCACTGATTGTTTCTCCTATGACTCTACAGTAATCATTGATTTATTCAATATTCTTTGCTCTATCTTTATCGCTTTTATCTCTTGGATGAATAAAAATTAAGGTTTTCTCTCTCTTAATAACTCTTTTATGTTTCAGTTTTTTAAAATTTGTTTTCTTTTTTCCTGTATTTTGACTTTTTTTATTTTTATTTTTATTTTTATTTTTATTTTTTTGAGATGAGTTTCACTCTTGCTGCCCAGGCTGGAGTGCAGTGGCATGATTTTGGCTCCCTGCAATCTCTGCCTCCCAGGTTCAAGTGATTCTCCTGCCTCAGCCTCCCAAGTAACTGGGATTACAGGTGTGTGCCACCATGCCCAGCTAATTTTTGTATTTTTATTAGAGACGGGTTTCACTATGTTGGCCAGGCTGGTCTTGAATTTCTTACCTAAAATGATCCTCCTGCCTTGGCCTCCCAAAGTGCTGGGATTACAGGTGTGAGCCATCGCACCCAGCACTGACATTGTTTTTTGTTTGTACTGAACTCCTCAGTCTTCTTCCTTCCAGGCCTCTCTATATACAGATGCCATTTTATGTTGCTCCCAACAAATGTAAACATGTTGAATCATAGGAGCTACTTTTGAAAAACTTGATTCTTTTTCTAAATTTTCCCCATCACACCCACTTAGTAAACTTTCACCCGAAATGGAAAATGTCTGGCTGAGAGGTATAGGAAGCAAATGATAATACAGGGTGAAACTAGCTGTTATCAGTTCTGTAGCAGGACTATCAACCTTATAAAACTTAACCTTCCACTCATTCTTATGCATTTCTCAGCCTTAATTAATTCACATAATTAAGCAAAGCATTTATTGGGCAACTGTTACATTTGGGGAGCATTTTAAGGCTTTACCTGTTATTCTACAAGGATGAAAACATATCGACCAGGCAACCATGACGTAGTCTCTTATTTGGAACAAGGAAGAGTCAAAGTACTCAAGTTTTTTTGTTTGTTTGTTGTTGTTGTTGTTGTTGTTTGTTTGTTTGTTTTTACCACAACCTGCTGAGTAGCTAGAACTTCAAGTGTGTGCCACCATACCTGGCTTAATTGTTATTATTTATTTATTTATATATTTTTAAATTTTTGTTTTCCTTTATTTCTTCTAAAGAAAGACAGGATACATGTACAGAATGTGCAAGTTTGTAACATAGGTATACATGTGCCATGGTGGCTTCCTGCACCTTTGGACCCGTCCTCTAAATTCCCTTCTCTCCCTGACTCTATGGACTCATCCTATAAATTCCCCGCCTAATATGGTAGCCACTGGCTACATGTAGCCATTGAGTTTCAGAAATGTGGCTAGCCTAAGTGTTTTGTAGACATAAATCACCCGACAGATTTCAAAGACTTAGTAAGAATAAAACAATGTAAACTATTTCATTAAAAATTTTAAAAATATTGATAAGATCTTATAAATAAATTTAGGATATATTCAGCTAAATAAAATATATTGTTAACTTAATTTCACCTGTTTCCTTTTTCTTTTTTTTTTTAAATGTGGCTATCAAAATTATACATGTAGCTTAAAATATATTTAAATAAATATTTCTACTGAACAGTCTACTCCAGGCAATCAAAAATTCTGGGCTGGCCACGGGTGGCTCATGCTTGTAATTGCAGCACTTTGGGAGGTTAAAGCAGGAGGATCACTTGAGGACAGGAGTTTGAGACCACCTTAGGAAACATAGTGAGACCCTCTTCCAATGTCTACAAAAAGTGTTTTTAAAGAAATTAGCCAGGTAGAGTGGTGCTTGCCTGTAGTCTGAACTACTCTGGAGGCTGAGGTGTGAGGATCACTTGAACCCAGGAGGTTGTGTCTGCAGTGAGCTGTAATTACACCAGTGCACTACACCCTGGATAAAAGAGTGAGACACTGTCTCAAAACAAAAAAAAATCTAGGTGGATACAGATGTGCACAGAACTCATATAGTAGGTAAAATTTGCAATTTTGAAATGCTTTGTGGTAGAAGTTTTACAGGGGCCCAAAGGAAACTGTCAGGGAGTATGTGCAGGTAGTACAGAAGCTAGGAGCATGGACTCTCCTGTCAGGCTACCTGTGTGGTTCGAATCTTGGCTCTGCCACTTGCTGGCTATATGCAAATTAATCACCTTCTCTCATCTTAGTTTTCCCATTAATAAAGGTAAAAATAATTTTCTATTATTTTCTATTTCACATGAAGAATATAAGCATTTTAAGAACACGATAAAAAAATTCCTGACTTACTTCTGTAAAACCAAGTCCTGAAAGCAGGTAATGGCACATGTAGGTACTTGATAAATATTTATTGAGTCAATACTTAATGCCTGTTATTATTTTAAATAGGGCACATGATAAAGCAGGTAAATCAAAACATTCACATTTCTGGTACATGTTAAGCATATGATCAATTGATATGGACAGGAGACAGAAATATTGAGTAGAAGAGGGCGGTTTCCTGGCAAAGGCCCCACCCTCAAGCCTGGAAACCTGCAGCCCTAAATGAAAACAGGCATTCCTGTTTTTGCATCCAAAAAGTTGCCTTTTGGTCCACCATGCCCCCATCTGGTACCCATATAAATCCTGAACCCCCGGCTCCAGAAGGAGACAAGCAGATGAACAGCAGAATGGCACAGCAGAGGAGAGAAGGGAAAGAGTGTCTGAACGTAGGGAGGAGTTTGGTTGGGGATAGTTGGTCGGAGAATCAGCCACTGGATGACCATACTCCAGGGGAAGATCATCTTCCCACTCCATTCCCCTGGCCTGCCCCGCATCCATTCCCCTGAAAACCCACCACCCAATAAAACCCCACATTCACCATACTTCAAGTTCATGCGTGACCTGATTGTTCCAGGATGCTGGACAAGAACTTGGGATACAGAAAGCTGTCACACTAGCCCTCTGCCTTTGCGAAAAAGCAGAGGGACCGCTGAGCTGATTAACACTTAAGCTGTCTATAGACAGTAAGGCTAAAAGAATGCACTGTAACACACGCCCACCTGGGCTCCTGCACCTGTCCATCTGCATACTCCTCCTCCTCTAAGGGGTTTGAGCAGCTGAACAGACGAGCCACACCCCTGTCCTGCAAGGGAGGTCAGGTAACTCTCCTGTTTCACAATGTTACAATCCTAATTAATATAAAAAATGACTTTTCCAATGATTGCACTTCCTGCCCTGGATTCTGATTCTCATTTAGGATCATTGGCCTCGAGGCTATGGTCCCACTTTCTTGCCCAGATTCACTTGGCCTCTCCTGATTTTGCTCCTGTTCTCTTGCCAGCTCTGCTTCTAACCCTTGCATGTATACAGGATCCTGCCCAATATCAAAGTGCTTACCTGCCCTGAACGAGCCACTATTTCATGCTTTGGGCTCTTGGTGCCTGCCGTCCTATCTGCCAGAATGTCCCCTGCCCACTTTGTGCACTTGATCTTGCTCATATTCCACTTCTACGGTCTGGCCCTCTGGGATAAAGCACCTCAGGGCTCCCTCTGCCCATTTACTCCTCTGTTATGCCTGAGCTCCTCAGGCAGAACTGCACAGGATCCCCATGTCCCTGAGTGTCGCAATCCATTGACCATAAGCAACAGAATAGCACAGAATGCTACCGCTCATTTAGAGGGCCACAGACTCCATCCCTGACTCTGAGGCATGTACCAGGATTCCCATCCTCTAGCATCTGAGCAGTGGCTGGAGGGCAGTGGGATGGAGTAAGCCAAGCAACATGGAGGCCTGGTGCCGCCCTGGACCTGCCACTCCTGTGCTATGAACTTTATGCCACTGCTTTTCCTCTCTGTGAGCATGGCTCCTCTCTTTCCAGTTTCTTCTTCTCTCTGTCTTCATACCAATGGGCAGTGAGAACCCATACAATCTCCTCAGTAAAGGTTCTTTGAAAGACAGATGTTTTAGAAATTCCAGGTAGTTTGGGGTTCTTCAGGAGCAGATTTTGGAGAGAAATATAACAGAACACAGAGAAGCTTGTTAAGAAGTTTATTTCAGAGACCACAACAGAAATTGCAGCCAAGTTTTCTTAGGGGAAATCACCTGGGTGTGGTGGACAGACAGGGCTTCCATTATGCTGCAGGTAGGGTTTTCACAGTATAAAACCTGTTTGCTTTAATGGGGATTACAGCATCATCATCAGGGCAGATGTATAATTCCCGAACAATATCAACGACGGCTGCAATTTGCGCGGTTGCTGAAAAAGATGGGGACAGAGATCATCTTTCAGACACCCCAGCCATGTCCTGTCTTTTCTACCCATATCAGTCTTCTGCCCCCTGGGGTTTAGTTTCCCCAAATCCTTCGCAAATTTGTCTCCCATATCAACTTTGTGTACACAATGCCTCTGCGTTAGAATCTGGGTACCTTCCCCATCTGTTCTCCCCATGCTCTTTCCTCCCTCCCTTTTGTCCTTCTGCCCTGAGGTCCTGGTCCTGCTCAGTTCTGCAGCCGTGTTTCTGTTTATAGTTTCTCCTCCCTGGTGGCTGTTGGGTAGCTCCTTCCTTGGATAACTTCTGTACTTACAGTTGGTCTTAAAGTCCCAGAAGAAGCGTCTTGGATTGTCTTCACAGAGGCAGGCAGTATACTTAAAGCTAAATCCACCTTCGATATGTACATTGCTACTGAGGAAAGCTTTAATCTGGTGAGGAGAAGGTGGGAGGGAGAACTCACTGTTATTCTGGGGAATGGGTAAGGGAGGGAAAAATAAGAGAGGGAGAAGCCGAAGGAGAAGAGTAGGGATAAAGGTGGGACCAGGGCAAGGAGTAGTCTACTGTTGTAGTAAAATTTCAGGAGCCAAAGTCTAGATCAGAAGGTTTTCCCTCCCCACGCTCTCAAACTCCTGCCTTAGCAGTGTGGAGAGGCTCAGGAGGAACTAGAGGTGCACATGAATCCACAGGGCAAGGAGAGCTCATCCGGGGCAGCTGTCCATCTAGGGAACAGGCTTGCTGTAGTCGTCAGCCAGAGCTTTCAGGAATCAACCTGCAGTCACACTTACTCTGAGACCTGGTGAGACAGCAGCCTGGCCACTTGGGTGTAGGAGCTGATGTCAGGCCTTGTTGTCAGAGATGTGACCAAGCCCCAGCTGTGCTTCTCTCTGACTTGGTGAACTTTGGTGATTAGAATTAGACCTCTCACTCTCGTTTTTCTCATTTGTGAGATGGAAACAATTAACTACCAAGCCTGGCTGTTAGATAAGCAAATGACAACATCTTGAATGTAAACTTCTTTTGAACTTGAGTGCTTTGCAGTTCAAGATCCCAGATGATTGTATATGTAAACTTCAGTGGATTCAGATTTTGTCCAGTTAGCATTATCACAGCAGTTTTATCCTGGGGGTCCGTGGACCCAGAGGGATCTGTGGATAGCATTCAGTGAGTCTGTGAACTCAGGCAGGGGGGAAAAATGCATCTTTATCTTACTAACCTCTAATTGAAATTCAGCATTACTTCAGTTTTGAATATCATCAAGGAACCACATTGCCCTTAGCAGTATGTATGATTTTATCACAAGGAGAAACATAGATACATATCATTTTACAGATTCAGATGTCCAAAATATCACCCTCATACACGACCTTGAATGTGTGCTAGTTATCAAACTGGCTTTATAGTCCTGACTGAGGCCCAGTGCCGTCTACCCATCTCCTGCAACTTGCTCAGATACCTGGCAACTCTGCACTAAATAGCCTTTCAGCCCCAAACAGTAAATTCAGGTTTTCTCATCCTTGGAGTTTTACTCAGAATGCCTTGGAGAAGCCTGGTGTTTCTTTAGACAAGCCTACCCATGCCTTGTCTATCTTTTTTTCTTTTTTTTCTTTTTTTTTTTTTTTTTGAGACAGTCTTACTCTGTTGCCAGACTGGAGTGCAATGGCGCAATCTCAGCTCACTGCAACCTCTGCCTCCCAGGTTCAAGCAATTCTTCTCCTTCAGCCTCCTAGGTAGCTGGGATTATAGGCACCTGCCACCACGCCTGGCTAATTTTTATATTGTTAGTAGAGATGGAGTTTCACTATGTTGGCCGAGCTGGTCTCGAACTCCTGACCTCAGGTCATCTGCCCCCCTTGGCCTCTCAAAGTGTTGGGATTACAGGCATGAGCCACTGCGCCCAGCCTTGTGTACCTTTTTATTACATCCGCAATAACATATCTTCATGAATCAGAATTTACACCACTTGTACAACAAAAGATCAGAATCTATTGCATGCCCAGCATGGCCCATGGGACGTGTTGCCAAAGACCAGTGCAGTTAATGTACTTTTTCGGGCCAAGCAACACCATCTATCACACAGATAATATCTTCACAAAATAAAATTTAATTCCTCTATGTTTTAAATGTATTGCTTTTCCAGCTAATGTGTGAATAAAGAAACACATATGTTACTGCATCACAAATTTATTTTCAATAAGTTTGTCACTGTTACTCAATGTGGTAGTTTCTCCCTGTAATCCAATGCCCTTTATACATTTAGAAGCAATTTTCTGATAAATGTTTCATAGACTTCATGAAACCAACAAAATGGCCTGTGGCACCAAAATGTTTAAGCATTGTAGTTTTCCACAAGTTTTCTTAAGCTTTAAAGGATTATGCAGTCTTTATATTCAAATACATGATTATAGGTATAATTCTATTCTAATTCTAAAATAAATAAACATGAGCCTAAACCTCACTTTTGCAAAAATTCAGTCACAGAAAACATTATAAATGATAGAAAATGAGGATTAGGTGGTAAAAATTTTATAGTTACATAAATATATTTCAATAAAAATTTAAAAATAGCTATACTTTCAAAAACTGAAGCCACAAATAAAAATTTGTTGACTAGAACTAACAAAATTTCCTTTCCCATAAATTTTTCCTGGTTAGCAAAATCAGTTAATCTGAGGATTTCTCATCCTTTCAGTTGTGCTTAGGTAGGTTTTGAAAAGATTGCTTTATTTTAGTGTACTAGCATGATTCTTAAAAGCATACTTTTATTAATCACAAAGGCACAAAATTATATCACATGTCATTTTATTGATTCAAACATATCTTATTATACCTACCACTACCATTAACTATTACCACTAGAAACCACCATTTTCATAAAAATTTTATGTACACGTTATGTACATGTTCTTATTCTCATTTTTACCTGTGTTTGTAAGATACAAAAGACAAAACTGAAAAATTATGACTCAGCCTCACTCCTCCCCAAAATAAATGTGCATGCTTCAGATTCTGGGACTGAAAATAGAAAATTTGACAAAGCAGCTGTGATATTCTTTGCTCATTGACTAGGAATTTTTCTTTACAGGTGTGGAGATATTTCTAGAATGCAGTTTACTGAATAGCAATCTTCATGCTCTCAATTTTGTTTTCCATGCAGTCATTGTCCTTAAGTCTCATTTGAATTAGGAATCTTATCCTGTAAGGAAATACTTGTGCTGCCTGATAGAGGATGCTTCTCAGGAAGGGTCTGGGGACGGAGTAGGAGAGATGGGGATTACATGGGTCTTGGCCCCAGAACAAAGGTAGTGGGGGCAGTTTGTATGCTTGTGACACCTGAGATCATTGACTAGGAGAAGGACACATAACCAGTGTCCCAGGGAAGAGTTACTATGGCTTAATAACTGCATAAATCCCTTTTACTTCTTGCCCTCAGCAGCTAGACAGGAGGAAAATGCTGTAGTCCCACGTGGCTCAAAATATGGTCTTTTGGGCATAGCCTTGGTGTACCTTGGGCATCCGTTAAAACCTAGAAGCTCTAACCGCTCCCCAGACCCACCGAAGGTCACTCTGCATTTTAACAAGATCCCTGGGTGAGTTTTAGGTACATTGCCATTGGAAAACCTCTGATCTAGTTTAGATATTGGAGTTCCCTCATGACTGCTGAACTTGGGAAGCCTCTGACCTAGTTCAGATATTGGAGTTTCCTCATGACTGCTGAAAAGGAGATGAGTACAAGCTCCTTGTCAGGGCAGAGAGGCTGGAACAAGAGTCAACTTCTGGTGACCCAGAGCAAAGAAGCACAAGAAGGCAAGAAGCCAGCAGACTAGCTCAGTGCTTACTGGAGAGGAGAAATCATATCCCGCATGTCCTCTTCTGCCCACCCGCCTCAACCTATGGTGTGGTGTTGCAGCTTTCTCTTCTGAGAACTCCCCTCCCTCCATCCTAAACTAAACATGCTCAGGACCTTGGAAGAACTCTGACTGGTTCTCCACTACCACTTACACTTTTTTCTTTTTTCCCTCTTTCTCGCTTCCTATTACCTCTTCTTTTCTTTCTTATTAGAATTTCTTCATCTGGAAAATGAGAAGTCATCTATCCCAAGCTCCCACAGTTGTTCTGAGTCTTGAGTAGCATAACATAAATGACAATGTTTTATTAAGTATACTGTACATTATTAAAGTGAGAGATTAATTAAGTTGTATTTATAATCAAAGAGTTGAATTATTTTTTGAAGTCATGCCCCCAGTCCTCTACTTACCACCATGCATTCTTTCAATTCTGTTTGAACTTTAAGGTCTGCAGTGACCTCCTGCTTTTCATCTTCCACCCTGGCCAACTGAAAATCCAGTATTATGATCCTCGGACTGGTTCTAGGAAGAGAGAATCAGGACACCAAGATCAGAGACCAATCTATGAGTGAGGGGGGAGGCATGAACAGGGCAAGGGGCACAGGATGGGCAAGGGAGGGAAATTATGGGGCTTAGATCAATTGTTCAGCATCAGAATCCCCTGGAATGTTTGTGTGTTGATTGGGATGATTGCCTCGTACAAATTTAGTTTTGTTTAGTAAAACAACTAGGACACTTTAAGATTCCTTAAAGAACTAAAAGTAGAACTACCATTTGATCCAGCAGTCCCACTACTGGGTATCTATCCAGAGGAAAATAAGTCATTTTTCAAAAAAGATACTTGCACATGCATGTTTATAGCAGCACAGTTAACAATTACAAAATTGTGGAACCAACCTAAATCCCCATCAGTCAACGAGCATCTTCTCTTCCATTGACCAAAAACAAATTTTTAAAAAGAAAATTTCCTGATAACGTTCTATAAGTTCTGGTAATTGTCTGCTGACTAGGAGGGCTCAAGTCATTATTAGGAGAAAATTTTCTAGCAACAGAATCACATTAAACCAGCAAACATCTTGATCAGGGAAATGGACATCAAAACCACAATGTGATACCACCTTATTCCTGCAAGAATGGCCATAATCAAAAAAATAAAAAAAATAGTAGGTGTTGGTGTGGATGCAGTGACCAGGGAACACTTCTACACTGCTGATGGGAATGTAAACTAATATAGCCACTATGGAAAATAGTGTGGAGATTCCTTAAAGAACTAAAAGTATAACTACCATTTGATCCAGCAATCCTACTACAGGGTATCTACCCAGAGGAAAATAAGTCGTTATTCAAAAAAGATACTTGCACATGTACGTTTATAGCAGCACAATTCACAATTGCAAAATTGTGGAACCAATCAAAATGCCCATCAATCAACGAGTGGATAAAGAAACTGTGGTGTGTGTATATATATATATATCCCACAGTGTATGTATGTATGTATATATATATGTATTATATATATATATGTATACACCATATATATATATAGCATTTGCAGTGACCTGGATGAGATTAGAGGCTATGATTCTAAGTGATGTAACTCAGTAATGGAAAACCAAACGTCGTATGTTCTCACCGAAATGTGGGAGCTAAGCTATGAGGATGCAAAGGCATAAGAATGATCTAATGGGCCTTTGGGACTTGGGGGGAAGAGTGAGAGGGGGTGAAGGATAAAAGACTACAGATACGGTGCAGCGTATATTGCACTATATTTGTAGTCTTTTATCTCAGGTGATAGGTGTACCAAAATCTCACAGAATCACTACTAAAGAACTTACTCATGTAACCAAATACCACCTGTACCCCAATAACTATGGAAAATTAAAATAATGAAAAAATTAAAAAACCCAGCAAACATCTCAATGCACTGGAGGTATTTGTAGGAGCATCTTTGAAGATCCCCCTTCTTTGGTTCTTAGGTAGGGTTTAGGAATTTGTATTTATTTAGCTCCTTAGGAAATTTGGACATATGGCCATGTTTGGGAACTTTAGATACCACTCTACATTTAGACCATACACCACAATCTGAAGGGAAAGGAAATGGAGGCAAAGAAAATACTCAAATATTCTTCTTCAATCAATGAGGACTGGGTTCCAGGCCAGAAGAGTTACTTTCTCTTTCCTAGAAGCTCCTGGCTACAGACCTTTGTTATTGTGTGGGACAGAAGACCCCACAGTGTCTCACAACCCCATTTTCTTGAGGCAAAGCATCTTAGATTTCAGAGAGATTACATTTTTTGTGTGCCAATTGCTCTAATGCCCAGTGCACAGAAAAAGGGTATAAATACCTAAACATCTTCAAAATCTCTCCCATTTGTAAATGAGTTTTGGATAAATAAGATAGGATGACCAGCTTAGCTCAAGTGACTAACCATCTCAGTTTACCCAGGACTGGGGTCTTTTCTGGAATGGGCCACAGAGGTCGCAGGGGACTTTCAATGCTACCACCAGGAAAGTCCTGGGCAAATCATGATGGTTGATAACACTAATTAGCATAGCTTATTTGAATACCTTGCTGCCGTTCAGGGCTAAATGGACTCATCTGAGGGGTGGAGGAGGCGGGATCTGAACCTGTCCCCACCCAGGGTTTTTTGGGACACTTGCCTCCTTTTTACCAGCTTGTCTAAACCCTGAACAGTTTCCTCTGGGACAGGATATCTGGCCATGCTATAGAGAGTACCTCCAAGATCACAACCCAGAAACCTGTCATTATAAACCCTACTGCTATAGAGAATCCCTAGATTGAGTATCCCTGCTTTTCCCCAGACCCCTGACTCCATTTTCTACTTTATTTTACTTGCTCCAATTTTTCTGCTCCCTTCAAACCTGTGTTCTCGATAAGTTGACTTCTGAACCTGTGCGCTCAGGTCCCAGTACATGTGAGAGCAGGAGGTCCTCATATTCATCTTGAGACTTCAGGTTAGGAAGAATGTCTAAGCTGCCAGGCTAGGTCAATCTCAGACCACAGAGCAGTGACCAGGGCCTCTCATTCTTTGGCAAGTCCTGCCAAAGCTGCCCTAAGCTGCCATTGGAACTCAAAGACCTGTTATGCCTCTCTTCTAGGAGGTAAGGTGTGAGAAGGTAAAGTTTACTGATCAGCAATCTGAACAAAGGTATAAATTATGAAAAAGATGTGGATCAGTGTGGGCATGTTAGATGAAGACTAATTGCTAATGAGAGCCTATAGGTACACTCAGAGCTTTATTTCCACTGGCAATGCAGAAAACACTCAGCAAAAATGTGAGAGGAGTTAGTGGGGCTTCCTAAGAGGACAGAAGTGGAACCTGGCAGGAGGTCCATGGGAGCTCCTGAGACTAGAGTTCTGGGAAGTTGAAAGAAATTCTGAGAAAGAGTTACGTAGATTTCCAGATTGAGAGAGGAGCCCTCCCTGCAAGCCCCCCCCCCTTTTTTTTTTTTTGCGGTAGGGGGGTGGGGCGGAGGAGAAGGGCATGGCTCACGTGTTTTCCTGAGCTTTGTTGGACCCCAGCTGCAGGCAGAGAACCAGGAGCAGGGCAGCAGGGCTGGCCCTGAACAGGAGCTGGAACAAGCGCATGCTGGAGAAAACAGAAGGCAATGTGTCTTGGAGAAATTGTGTCCCAGGTGCCCAGCACATTTCTTATATGCAGATTGATCAAGGAAGTGCAAGAGCTGCCAGGGAGATCCGTGAGGTGAATCACCCACTCACCCTCCCCACTCGTGATCTTTCCTTGTTGACCCAAAGTTTGTTTTTCTAAGAAAAAAAAATCAACACTTAGCTAGAATGTCAGCGTTTAAGAGAGGAGTGAGATTGTTCTTCCTTATTTTTTCAGTGTCAGAGTTTCTCAAAATGGCTGGGATCTCGAAAGATATACCAGTTTTTACCAAGCTTACAGATTCAGTTTTCTTTTCCCTCCTAATATGCCTGTCTGAAGTGCTGTGTGTAGTCTTAGCTTCAGTTACTGCTCCCCTGGTCTCTGAAGGCAGAGAACCCAGCTGTGGTGGCAGGTTTCAGACCACAGGCATAGAGCATCTTTGGGGGATCATCTTATAGTGAGTTCAAGAGGCAGTGCTATTCAAAGCATTACTTGGAGGGCTAGAATGATCAGGACTTCTCTAGCAGTCACTACCAATCACCAGGTGGAAGAGCTAGAGAAGACCTGAGCTGCTCTATGTGATGGGGAAGTGAGTTCAAGGCACTGAGTGACCTAAAGATGTTTATTATCATTGAGTCCTTCTTAACTTCAGGTGGGGTGGCAATGTACCAAAGATGCCCAAGATCCCTAGCTGCTCCACAGTCCCCAAGAGAACCAAGAGCAGGGCAGCAGGGCCGGCCTTGAACAGGACACCATATTATGTCAATTTTAATTCTAGACAATTCCTGTAAATAGCTGACACCCCCAAATCAGACTTTTTGGCACCAAAGAGCGGGGTCATTTTCTTCTTGACATAGCCACTTTCTTACATTTGTCTCACAGCATAAGCCACATCGAAAGACCCACAATGGTGACGCCCTCCGTGAGAATGGAGCCTACATTATGTCCAGTAGATACCCAGACTGTAGAATTCCTCTCCTTGGGATGATGGGGAGACTTGCTTTTGCCAACACTGGCATTGTGCTGTTTCTCCTTATGAAATTGAATCTGTTCCTTAACCTATGACATAAAACACTATGGGATTTGTTTCTATCCTCTGCATGGCAGACAGCTGGCCAGGAAGAGCCTCTCTGGCAAGAGAGTGAAAATTAGAGTTCTAGGAGTTACCGCCTCTGTATGTTGCTGTAGCCAGGATTCAGAGCTAAAGTCTAAGTGCTTGCTTCTGGTTTCTGGATGTGTCTCTCAAAATTGCCCTGCCTGTTATTCGGTTCCTGCATCTACTTTCTCTTTCTTTTGAATTGGACACCATATTATGTCATTGCTCACTTAAAACTTCAGTTATTTTCATGATCACATGCTTTCTTCCCTGTTTATGTCCTGTCCACTCAAGAACAATGCTGTGACCTGGGTCACAATGACCTTCCTTTGTAAGCCTCTTTCCACATTTAAATTGTCTACGCCTGGTCCTTCTCACTTGAATAATTTCCATCAGAAGCATATACTAGCTACACCAACCGAGGCATAAGGCAGAAGAATCTAGGAAGTGTCTATGTGGGAAAAATGCAGGAAAAGTTCTTTGCTGGGCACTTTGAGGGCATAGCTCCATCCTTGAGGATATAGCTCCAGCACTCCCGAAAGGCGGTGTCCAGAGGAAGGTAGGTGACAATGGGTTAAGAGCATCTATTGAAGGCAATGAGGCTGTTCCTCTGTGAGCCAGCAGAAAACTGTAATGCTTGGCTGGGCAGAGTGGCTCACTCCTGTAATCCTAGCACTTTTGGAGGCTGAGGTGGGTGGATCACCTGAGGTCGAGAGTTCGAGACCAGCCTGACCAACATGGAGAAACCCTGTATCTACTAAAAATGCAAAATTAACTGGGTATGGTAGCACATGCCTGTAATCCTAGTTACTCAGAAGGCTGAGGCAGGAAAATCACTTGAACCCGGGAGGCGGAGGTTGCAGTGATCGCCCCACTGCACTCTAGACTGGGCTACAAGAGTGAAACTCCATCTCACACACACACAAAAAAAAAAAAGAAAAAAAAGAAAAAGAAACTGCAATACCTACAACCCTTCAATGTACAGGACATTTTCTTTTCTTTTCTTTCTTTGTTTCTTATTTATTTATTTATTTATTTTTGACAGAGTCTCACTCTGTAGGCCAGGCTGGAGTGCAGTGGCACAATCTCAGCTCACTGCAACCTCCACCTCCCGGGTTCAGGAAATGCTCATGCCTCAGGCTCCCGAGTAGCAGGGATTATAAGCAGGTGCCACCATGCCCAGCTAATTTTTGTATTTTTGGTAGAGATAGGGTTTCACCATGTTGGCCGGGCTGGTCTCACATGCTTGACCTCAGTGATCCTCCTGCCTCAGCCTCCCAAAGTACTGGGATTACAGGTGTGAGCCCCTGTGCCTGGCCCCGGACAGGTCTTATTCAGGCCATGACTGCTGTGATGGTTACTTTCACATGTCAGCTTGGCTGTGCATGGTGCCCACTTTTTGGAAAAACAACAGTTTAGATGTTGTGAAGTTTTTGTTTGTTCACTGGTTTGTTTTAAATGTGATTAACATTTAAATCAGTAAAATTTGAGTAAAACAGATTACCTCCATAATATGGGTCAGACTCATTGAATCAATTGAAAAACCTGAAGAGAACAGCTTGAGGTCCCTTGAGGAAGAAGAAATTAGGGAGAAAAAGAAACCATGATTATTATGCCATAAAGAATGAACAAATAGTAGGTTTAAGAAATCAAATAAAGGTTGATAAAATCAGATTGTAAACAACTCAGGAAACTTAACAGAAGAGAATGTGTAAAGGCCCAGAGGGAAAGGGTTAGGATTAAGGTGGAGCTTGCCACAGGCTAAGTTTGCAAAGAGAAAGATGATCTTAGTCCTGGCAGGGCTCATGAGAAGAAGATAAGGAATAGAAAAAGAGAGGGAATTATAGACACCAACACACATGAAGCATATGCTGTGTGCCTGCTCTAAAGATTTTAACATGTATTAGCTCAATCTTTATTACAACCCTGTGGAGGTGCTTGCCATTTTTATTCTATTTTACAAGAGGGGAACCAGAGACCCAGGAGATAAATATCTAGCCCAGACCATATAGCCAGTATCTGGCAGAATCAACTTTTCATGCAGATTTTGTGGAATCTGAGTTTTGATTTACAGTATTGGAGAACCTCTTTGGGAAATAGAATCCAAACTTACAAATGTAAACTACAGGAACAGGACCTTGGAGGAGGTACCAATAAGTAGGAAGCCCTGAGGATTCATGCCGTTAATTTAATGGTAAATACACCTTTGGATGGAGCCAGAATTTCCATGCTGGCAGTCTGGCCTTGAAGCCTTTAACCACTGCACTGCCTACTGGTGAGAACCAGTTGCAAAGTTAGAAACTGGCAGAGTAAGGTGTTCAAATCAAGTAGTCTGACACCAGAGGCTATGTCCTTAAACACTTGTCTATTCTATTTCTTGATGTAGCAAGAGTTTTAAGTTGAGAAAAGGAAACTCACAGAGGTTTTAATAAGTTGTTCAAGTCACAGAGCCAACAAATAAGAAAGGTATTGCAGGCCGGGCGCGGTGGCTCAAGCCTGTAATCCCAGCACTTTGGGAGGCCGAGGCGGGTGGATCACGAGGTCAAGAGATCGAGACCATCCTGGTCAACATGGTGAAACCCCGTCTCTACTAAAAATACAAAAAAAAAAAACTAGCTGGGCGTGGTGGCGCGTGCCTGTAATCCCAGCTACTCAGGAGGCTGAGGCAGGAGAATTGCCTGAACCCAGGAGGCGGAGGTTGCGGTAAGCCGAGATCACGCCATTGTACTCCAGCCTGGGTAACAAGAGCGAAACTCCGTCTCAAAAAAAAAAAAAAAAAAAAGAAAGGTATTGAAGTTTGGCTTGGCCAGATGACTAAACCAAACCATTGGAACCAAGATAGAAGTGAATCCGGAGTTGGCACTTAGAGTGACTACTCCATATTTCCTCTTACTTAATAAAAGCACAACTGTCACAAGACTTGTACAAGAGCATTAATGCATTCTGAAGATGTAATGAGTTGTTTCTTAGAGGAGGTTATATCCAAGCAAAATCTCTCAGAGGTGAGAGAAGCTGGAGTGTGACTCTTTTCTTAGAAACTCTGTCATCTTTAGTGATATATATATATATATATATATATATATATTTTTTTTTTTTTTTTTGAGATGGAGTTTTACTCTTGTTGCCCAGGCTGGAGTTTAGTGGCACAGTCTCGGTTCACTGCAACCTCTGCCTCTTGGGTTCAAGTGATTCTCCTGTCTCAGCCTCCTGAGTAGCCAGGATTACAGGTGCCTGCCACCAAGCCCAGCTTATTTTTGTATTTTTAGTGGAGACAGGGTTTCACCATGTTGGCCAGGTTGGTCCTGAACTCCTGCCTGACCTCAGGTAATCCACCCCCCTCAGCCTCCCAAAGTGCTAGGATTACAGGTGTGAGCCACCGTGCCCGGCCTTTAATCATTTAGTATCATTTATAAGGTCACCCTGGTCATAATGTAGGGGCCAAGGGAAAACTTCTCTGCCTTCTGAAGTTTCACTGAAACTGACAAAAAATAGATTAATAGGAGAAATGGCGTACAAGTTTATTTACATGCATGGGGAGAATGACAGAGTGATTATCTCTAACTCCTCAGTGGGGGAACAGAAGCTTATGTGCCATCTTGAGGTTACGGAAAGAATGAGGGCTTGGAGCATGGCCCAAAACAGGTTAAGCCTAGTACTCATTAGTTATTTTTCCTGATCCTCTCTCTCTTCCCAATCCCCACCCTCAAGTAGGCTCCATTGTCTGTTGTTCCCTTCTGTGTGCCCATGTGTTCTCATTATTTAGCTCCCACTTATAAGTGAGAATATGTAGTATTTGGTTTTCTGTTTCTGTTTAGTTTGCTAAGAATAATGGCCTCCAGCTCCTTCCATGTTCCTGCAAAGGACTTCGTTCTTTTTGTTTGTTTGTTTTTTGTTTTTAAAGATGGAGTCTCACTCTGTC